CATGCAAAGCATGTACAAGCCCTGATCCCTGGGCTCATGGAAAGCGTGATCCTTCCGAAAATGCTATTATATCAGAACTCACAAAATATAAAATCAAAATAAATGGAACCATATCAATAACCATTAGAAGGATGGTAAACACAGCAATAGCAATAAATATCAATACCAGGGAAATGCCTAATAAACTAGAACACTGCGGAGCTATAGGGTAATGTCATGCACGGCTAATGGCTTCTTGTGGGTAAGGGAATTACAAATGAATTATAACTTATTACAGCATAGAGGCTTTAGTGTCATAAGAGCTGGAAGTATTTAATGCCCAGTCCTCAGCTGGTGGAAGGCAGCAGAGCTGTGCTGAGACATTGCCTGGTGGTTTTGTCCTGAATGCTATAGAGGTGGTGTGGAGAAGTTCAACACGAGGCAAAGCCTTTAGGAGCACTGACCAGAGCTTTGACCATTATCCTCATCAGCTGCTTCAGGCAGATATCAAACCCTCTTTTAATATGTGTATGTAGCAGCTCTGAGATGGCAGCAACTCTCCTCATCATTGCAACTAAATGCTAGCTTTTGCTTTTCATATGCTCTTACATGGCCTAGCAGAACAGAGTCCAGTCTTGAATGGACCTGCTGAGTAGGTCTGCAATATAGTGGAGTTTGGACAGTGTCCTCCTTGATGCTTTATGGAGCGGGATGTTCACACCAAGAGGTAGGTTAGGGCATATAAGACCATGGGTCTGGTGGAATCAGTCAAGTTGGTAGGTGGAGGACCTGCTCAACCCATAGTAGCTGTTTTCCTTGACACGTTTGGCCTCTGCATAACCACTAGATGTTCTGGGACTAGGCAATATGGAGGAGAAAAATTGCACAAAGGCCCAGGCAATATTCTCAGCCTCTTTGTCCCAGACCAAGTGTATAGGCAGATGGTTAGATCCATAGGTACAGAGAGGTGATGAAGTCCAACCTCATTTCATAACTAGTGAAAAATTGCCTCTCAAAATGATCCGATATGAAGTGTTTTGCTGCCAAAGCCAGCTAACCCATGCAGTGTCCAAACTGAAATTATGACATCACAGCTGGAGAGCTGAGCTATGCCTATTACCTCATACATCACCAATGCCTACCAGATACATGGCAGCAAATGGCATGGAAGCTATGTTTTACAATAGGTGTATGGCTCATTTTCTGCCTTGTTCTTTTTTTCCCCCATCTGAATAAATGCATTTAGTAGCCTGAAGATCCTTTTGCTGAAAAAAGGCATGTTGCTAGACATTTATTTAACATCTTCAATTAAAATACAACCCCCGCCTTATAACTGGTATCATGAACAAGGAAGGACTAAGTGAATATGAGCACCTTGGAAAATTGTGTCTCCAACGCTCATCACCTTCCCATTATCGATGCCATCTCTCAGATGCCCTGAGTCTCCCATGTTGAGTCTTGCAGCAAGCTTTCTTTAACAATTTCCTATTCACTAACGTAAAAAAAAAAAAAAATGTGCTGCAAGCAAAGATGTATGTGGCCAAAGTTTGACCAGGCTTCTTAAAAGCCTGGTTGCAAATAAGTGAACCACTTTGATAAATGTATTGGATACAGCTCTTAGTTTTGTGAGAGCTTCACATTCTGGTACTCAGCCAGCAGAAGTTTGAAATTTTCCAAAGTGTTTTGCTTTTGGGGGGCTGTGGCCTCATAAGATGAATGAAAAGGTTAAAATGTAAAATGTTAATCTCTGGAGCAGCTGGAAATTGCAGGGGTTTGGAGGTGCCAAATCTAAAATAGCTTCGCTGGGGAGACATCAATCACTCCGCCTGTCCTATAAAAGTAATTTACAGTGTATTGAGGTGGTGTCAAGGCAATTCATTAGCACGGCGGTATGGATAGAGTGGTTACTGAACATTGCCCGTGGCTGGAGATTTCCCCTGGAAGTGACTTACAGCAAAGCCGGCTAGCCTCGCCTACACCCAATCTCTCTTCCATCCATAAGGGAGAGGCATAAAACTTTATGATAGTCATTAGCTACTCACAAAGTATGTCGGCACTGCCAGTCTCCAAGCTTGAACCACAGAAGACTGAATGCAAAACTACTAAGAGAACATTTGGAAGAGAGGTGCCAAGAAGACACAGATCCTGCAGTAAAGAAGGTGAGTAAAAATGGGACAAGATACCTGGGATACAGATGCCTGGCATGAAAAAAAAAATCTAATTCTGAACGGTTAAAGTTTGGCAGAGTTTTTAAACTATTAAAAATATGGTTTTATTAAAAAAAATGCTAAGAACTTGTTTCCAACTACTCAGTTGGTCTAATAAAAGATATCATGTCTACTCAAAGAACCTGGCCTGCCTGTGTCCTTAGACCAGGGATGGGCAAAATATGGCCCGTGGGCCGGATGCAGCCCACCAGGCTATTCTACCCCTAAAAAATTTAGAAAATTAATATTTATCCGCCCCTGGCTGCCTGTCATGCAGCCATTGATGGCTTGCCAAAACTCAGTAAGCAGCCCTCCACCCAAAATAATTGCCCGTCTCTGCCTTAGATCAACACGGCTACAACCAAAAACCCCGATCCTGCAGTGAGAGTTGTGCAGGCGCTGAAGGGTTCCTGTATGGCAGGAGTCTGAAATTTTCCAAAGCATTTGGAGGCAATTCCTAGGGCTGAAAACTCATTTTTACCTTGCCAAAATAGAAGGAGGGAATGAAGATGTGGGTTTGCACTTGGGGCCAGAACTGGAGGTGATTCTGATTTTGTATTAAGCGGGACATCACGTTGGGCGTGACATGAATCCCTGCTTTCTTTGCTCCCTCTGGCAAAAGACTCACCCCCAGGATTTCAATGCTCTGTTCTCATCCAGTAGCAGGTATCCACGTCCTGCCTGATTTGCAATGTTTCATGCTGCCTGTCGCTGAACAATCGGGGCTTCTGCAGAAGGAGGGTCACCAGCTCCAGGGAGCTTCATCAGTTCGTCTTGGTGCCGGGTGTGCCGGGAGGACTGGCCTTGGCGTGGGGCTGGTCAGAGGCAGTTCACGCAAGCAAGGGGGATAATCCTGTTGGTTGTGATTCTTCCCTTTCCAGCCCCTCTGACAACATTATGCACCTGCCACCCGGTTTATTAACCTTTCCCAATTTCAAAGTCTTAGACTCTTCTGTTAAAACAGCTAAAAGAAGTCAGCCGTGATTTTATTTTTGCTTCTTCTCTTTTCCTGCTGTAATAGGTTAAGATCAAAAGGACTTTTTTCCCCCTCTTCACCTTGCATAATAATCTTTATGGGGTTACTTCATCTGCTCATTAGCCTCAGGCTTATCTTTTAATATTTGGGGGTCGGACTCAATGACCTAGTGAGGCCCCTTCCGACCCTAACATCTAACATCTATGAATATGTGTCGATTTAATCTAAAGCTACCTTTTGATTGCTACTAAGGAGGAGGATGTGCTTTAGTTTATGCATCAGCCAATGCTTTATATCACAATTAGATTCTTTACTCTTTTTTTCTGGGTAAAAATGTTCAGCTGAAAACTTTTTGAGGCCATAAATACAGATTCAGTGCTATGCAACATTTCACAGATTTGTCTTGACTTTGCTCAATCATGTGCGTCCAGAAAAGCCAGCACATTTCCTTTTGCCATTTTCAAAATGAAACATTTGAATATTTTAACTTCAAATCCTTTCTTTTTTAGAGATTTCCATCCTGATTAAAAAGACATAAAAACAGTCAAATCCGAAACAAAGCAAAAGGTTTTGTGCATCCAGAAGCAATTTTAATTCAACTTTTTGATTCCTTCAGTATTTCAGAACTATTGTTTCAGGTCAGTCTGAAGGAATTGGATATTTTGTAAGTACCAGTGAACTGAAAAATCGGTTGCTACTACCGCTGTACGTGTGCAACAGTCTGTTCCCCAAATGTGGAAACACCTTCTCATTTAACCTTCATAGATAGGATTTGGTTTTGTGAGCAAAATTAAAGCATAGATTTAATCCCAATCATTCTTGGATGATGTATTAAACCACTTTGTTTTGTTCTTCAGACTGCATGCTCGTTCACAGGGTAACATTGTAAAGCAATAAATAATAGTGCTAATGTTGGTAATTGCCTCCAAGATTCTTCGCCCGCTAACTAGGGACACTCCACTAGTATCCTTTGGTAGAAAAAATATTAGATTAATTGCTCCATCTCTAGCCAAGGCCTGGAGCGATGATTGATTAAACAGCAAGCAAGTCTAATTAATACACATTTCCTTGAACTCCCCAGTAACAGGAGGAAACACTGTTTTCTAGCTTTTTAAGAAAGAGAGAGAGAAAGAGAGGAAGCAAGCAAGCAAGCAAGCAAGCAAGCTTCAGAATTGATGGCTCGGAGTGAAAAGGATGCGACTGAATTATTGCCAGTTAATGTCAGATAGTGTTTCACAGACATGTCTGCCTGATTGTCTGATTCCTGCAGTTTCTGGACTGAGTCCTAGCTCGGTGGTGCAAAGGTTGCCCAGCCCCTCGGCGTGCCAGTGGTAGCAGACATCCCTCTATCTTGATGAATTATCTTTACGGTGCCCAGGGTCTAGCCGTAACCTCCCATATCAGCATCCATCTGCCAAAGCTGCTTAGCATGGGCTGTGCGGTCTTATCTCTCCCTTCTCTGCGATTTGTGTCTCTTGCAATGATGTAAATGTCTTTTGCTGATTGTCAGTTTGCATTTCAGCACATTTTCTCCCTGGCACATGCGGAGGTAGCCAAGGGAGGAGAAAGAGTCCTGAAGAGCACCCCTAACTTTGCCCTATTCCCATGTTTTTGTGGGGGATTAAGACCATTCTTCAGGAATCTCTTTTCATTCAAGGTTTTACCCTTCTCACCCCAAAATCAGTCCCTCTCCCTGTGTCCCTGATTATGGATCAGCTGCACGGTCCATGGAAGGATCCTAACCAGCACCGGGCACAGGCTGCGCTGGTTCCTGGCTGCATAAGCGATGAACTCTGTTTCCAAAGGAGTTTGTGTCTTTTCCTTTGTCTGTATTACAGTAACACCTACAAGTCCCAAGCAAGATCAGAGCACATCATAGGACACACATCATAGGAAGCGGCCTGTGCCCTGAGGTGCTTCCCATCCAAGCAAGCAAGGCACAGAAAGGAAGACAGGAGGAGTGACTTGCTACCATCACCTGGCTGAGCAGTGCCGGAGCCAAGGATCAGTCTCTTCAGCCCCCACCCAGTGCCTTATGCATCAGAGCATGCTGCCTCTCTCCCGCTGACGTCCGTGGCAAAGCTGCTCTTGATGTCTCATCATTTGAACTATGCACCATGGGTTTAATGGGAAATATTTAGTTGCATTAGCAGTGGGCAGGATCTGGGGCTGTTTCATGGGAATACACAGTAATAACCTGGAAGCTTATTCAGGGCATTTTGTTTTAGGCTCCTTCTACAAGTTCTCATCTAGTATGAATGCCGGAGAGAAGATGTTTTTCAGCCTGGTTATTTTTCTCTCTCTGTGGCAGAGCGGCCGAGCGACAAGCCAGAGGCTTCAAAGCTCGAAGGGAGAAGTTTATCTCATCTGTCCAAGCTGCTTTGAAAATCGCAAGCCTCTGGGGATGCCCGTGGTCTCCCAGATCCTGATAGAAATCAGGCTCCTCATTTATTTTTGCTTCGACAGGGTGTTTATAAAATCCTTGTGCAACTTAAAACTTTAATAACTTTTGGATGTACACATGATAGAAGCAATTGAAAGCATAAACTGAAAGCATAAATCATTAAGTTTTTGAGCATAGTATAAGCTCTGAATAGGGTAAGGATTACCAGTGCAACTCCTGGAATCACTCAGCAGCACCTGGAGAATGTTTCCTATGAGCTGGAAAATCAGATCGAACAATGCATCACGAAAGATGGTGCTTATGCAGAAGTCTAGACATTTGAGCTGTGTTGTGTTAATTATGCTTTGGATCCCCATTTACAGTTTGCTTCTATCATGCGTGTATCCAAAGTTATTAAAGCTGAACAAGGACTTTATAAACACCCCGTATATTTTGTAGTTGCACAAGGACTTTATAAACACCCGGTATATTGGAGAGAAAACCAAAGGGAAGATTTCTGAATGAACAGGAAAGACAGAGGCTTGCAAAATATTAGTGCAGTGGCATATAATCTATGCTGCCCTTTTGTCCCTTGTGATTTCCCTTCTCCTATAATAAATCAAGGCTCCCTCTGTTGTGCTACTTTAGGGAGTGGTGGTTTTCAGATACACAGATCTGTCCAGACTGGGGTTTCTAAAGCAGCCAGGCCCTCCAGTCAGCTGGCTGTCTGAGCTCCTCAGGCCATGAGAATGGGGTAGGCTGTAAGCTTTGGGGTCCCGGTGTTGGGGCACCCCACATGGTTGATCCAGAGATGAGGACTCGGTAAGACTTGGCTCTCCAGCGCGGGAGGAGCGCTTTGGGCAGGGGACCAAGGAGCCCGGCAGGAAGCCAGGCGAGCTCCACTCGGCGCTCAGCTCGCTGCTTTGCAGACCCGCTCTCCCCCTCCCCTGAAATGCACGCGCCTCCCGACGAGGTGAACGTCGTGCCTTCCCTGCTTCACCCAGCGCTTGCGTGGGCAGGCAGCCACCAGCCGGCTGCCACGAGATCTGTCCAAGCTGTATCAACACGTATCAAAATCCACACGTTGCAACCGCCCGGTTGTCAAAAGCAGACGGAGAAAAATATCTCGCTGGAAAATTCCTGACCCCGTCTCAGAGAGAGCCTCCAAGCGATGCACAGACACTTGAAGACGAGATGAGCCTTATCGATCCCTCCTGCAGCGTGCCGTCACCTGCCCAACCCTGACAAGCGTCCCCCCAGGGTAGGACTGCCAACTTCTCTGCTTCTTTCTCTAGGGTTGTCCAACTGTCCTGGGCAGAGGTCTGGAGGAGATGCCTCCAGCCAGCTAGCCCCAGGAAGCCACCGTATTCATCCTAATATTTCCCCCCCGCCTCTGCATAGGAAGCCGTTCCTTCCCAAAAGCAGCAATAAAGAAATGAAGCAGTGTCACAAGGTGGCTTCATCCTTGGAAGACATTGGTGATATATTCCTACCTGTTAGGATGGGTGTGAAGCCAGGGCTTAAGCTGGCATCCTGTGAAAAACCTGGTCCTTGGAGATGACTTGGTTGGGAAAGATGCCTTCAGGGAGTAGGGAAGCATTTGCTAGAGAGAGGGCATGGAAAGGGGCCAGGCATCAGGACCTATTTTAGCCCTATAATTTATGCTGGATGCCTCTGGCTCTGAGATGTAAACCCATGCCTGAATAAGGGGCGGGAGAGCCAGCTGCTGCAAGGGGCTTTGATCTGATTACCTTGGCAAGCACGTCGGCCGACACAGGATTATTTTCTCTGGAAAAATGAAGTAAATGCATTCAATCCAGGGAAGATGTCCAACTAACTGCCCTCGGTCCCTTGGCTGCAAATCTCCCCTTGAACGTTGTCTTGGGGAGGAATGATTCATAGCTGCGGGAGAGGGCTGGAGGGAAGAGGTGCCTCTAAAGCACTTTTACAGCCAGCCGCAGCCTCGTCCATCCCGTGGCAGAGCTGGCACTCCAGATGACCGAGTTACAGGAGCGGCACCATTTACCGGGAACTATGAAGGGCTTTCCTCTTCTTGAGGATTAACTGCTATGGATGGGCAGAGCGCACTTCACTTGCTCGTGACCAGCCCAACTAGGAGCCAGTAGAGCTGTACGAGCTTCTCACTGCCATTGAACAGAAAAGAAGCTGTAAGAAGACAGGGAACATGTGAACTTCCCAAGACGATGTCTCAGTAAGAGTTTTCTGCTCTTTCTTCCCTGCGAACAGCCCGCAGGACTGAACGGAGATGTCCTGAGAGCTCATCAGAAGGTATTAGAAGGACCTCCTCATTGCCTGCTCTCATCCTCCAAAGGCAAAGCACCTACCTCTTTCCTAAAATTTGATCGGCGCTGTCCTTGACCTTTCTGGCGGAGCAGTGGAACGTGCCGCATCTGACTTCAGTCAAAAAACAGTGAGTTGGTCTTTGGACAAGAGAAGGGATGTCATGAATCCTAGAGCACCTGCAGTCAGACCCGCATAAAGATTGGGTCATGCTTTTCCCTGAAAAGCACCAAGTCCTAAGGCCTTATATCGTAGACCTCATGGGCCTATGCATGATGCCAGCTCTGTCTCATGGGCTCATGCATGATGCCAGCTCTGTCTCATGGGCTCATGCATGATACCAGCACGGTTCAAATTCAGAAGACTCACATAATTCAGTTCACCCCCTGTGAATAAATTGAACTTAGCTTCTCATGTAGGGCACTAGGTGAACCAAGCCTGCAATCCTCCTATTTCCAGGCCCGCTGAAGAAAGCCCAGCCTTCTCTTGCTCAAGAAACAGAGCAGAGGTGAAGGTGAACTGTGTCCCACACCAATGCACAGTGAAATGATTTATTGGGATATCAGAAAAACAAAAAGCCTTAAAGGATCTAAACGCTGGTAACCCGACAATCCAGCATAAATAATTAATCACTAGCCATCCTTATCTTTACTTAGAGTGGCATAAACTAATAGAGCTGAATAAAAATCCCAATTGTGATTTAAATAAGAACAATTTTTGCCCTTGAAAAGGAATTTTTGGTTGTTGTTGTGGATTTGTCTTTCATGTCGTAAAGCCAGATTTTGGACGAGGTACATCCTAAGGGCAAGAGCTGTCAGCAATGCTCATTGTCAAGCAGGATAGCAAAGTCATTACTTATGATAATACACGGCTCGCAACGAGAAAGAGGCATTGCAGCAGGTGACAAAGCAGTTCCTAAGAACTGCGGCTTTATTTGTGCCAAACCCTGACCGAACACCGAAAAATGTAAATTGATATTAAGGAAAAATAATCTCCGGGAGGTAATTTCAAGCCGGCCTTTTTTTGTCCTCCTAGGATACTAATTAGCTCGTTCCTTCATCTTTAGTAGCTATCCAAATGGATATAGAAAGGCATATAGGGGACGATTCCAAGCGCATCCATTGAAGTCAATGAAAAGACTCCAACAACTTTAATAGGCTTTGGACGAGAGTCAATTTTGCTGTTTCATGCGACTGCTGTGATCTCTCCTGTCTCTGGTTAGTGCCGTAGGCGCAGCTGGTATATATGTTGCTGGACCACTCGTTGCGCTCTCCACCTCCTATATCCACATTTTATACTGGGGGGGATGTGTTATATCAAGCTAGGATTTTCTTGGTAACATTTCTAGTTTATTTACTTCTTGTAGAGGAACGATTGGCTTCTCTTCTCTCCTTCATCTGGAAAGGATGGAATCAGCTGGCAGTGTTTATGGATATCGTGCTGAGTATATTTGGAGACGGGGAGGATACGACTGAAAAATAAAAAGCCTCAGGGAATTAGGTTGGCAATTTCTACTGCAAATCAATAGCACTTTATGCTCCTAATTCCATCTCCCCCTCCATCAATAAAATACATAAAAAAATATAAAAGTGGTGACACAGTTTCAGTCTGAAATCAGGTAACACTGCAGGGGCTGTTTCCGGCCTTACTTTGAGCGGTATTATTAGGGCAAATCACTTCAAGTGATTGTTATTTATGAAGTAGGCAGAAATATTTACAACGGCCATCAGCAAAACCTCTCCTTTCCCATGACACATCTGGGCTACGGTGCGGTTTCCCAACAAAGGCGGCCGGAGGTTGTTGTATAATATCACAGTTCGGCGGCAAGGGACAAGCCACGGGAGAGAGCAGGGGAAGAAAGAACATAAAAAGGGCTCAAATAATGTAACGATTATTGGAGGTAAGTGGGAGAGAACGAGCATTTTTCGAGACGTGCTGCACTGGCTCTTTTTCCAAGAGGAGGCATCTCTCACTGCTGCTTTTCTGAGTCTTTTTTTTTTTAATGAGGTTTTTTTTTTAATGAGCTTTTTTCTTTTAGACAGAGCTGTGCGTGCCCTGGTGCGCAGGGCTCAGGGAAGTTCACATCAGAAGCATGCATTTGCTGTCTCAAGAAGCGAACCTTGCTGGAGAATAAGCCCTTTGGTTACAGCAGCCATACCCCTTCCACGTCCCAAGGCCCCAGAGGGAGATGGAGTGAAGGAGAAAATGCCTTGTTATGAATTAGAAATCTTCCTGTTGGGTTTTAGGTGGAAGTGTTTAAAGCAGGTCCATCACTACAGGAGCGCTAGCCCTAACCCTAACCCTCTGCCCGCCTGACTCCTCTACAACCGCCTGTGGACCCACTGGTAGGAAACATCTGTTTTCCCCTGGCTCTTTGCATGTAGTGGAGATAATCCCATGCAAAGGACTGCTCAGAAGACCGGCTGGGTGAAGATCAAGGACATGCAACGGCTTTTCAAAGATGCACCAAGTATGTCTCAGTGACAGCTGGAAATCAAAAGCTGGGGAGTTTCCTACAGCATGTCTGGCCTGAAGAGGAAGATGGGAGCACTGCCTGTGTTTCCCCATCATCATAGTCTCTGAGCACAGTAAAATTTAGAGCTGGGCAAATTATGGTCAGCAGTTGTCTCATGAATGCATCCTTTCCTGCCTCCCTCCCTGGTTCACAGGCAGGTCCTGCTTTGTG